CAAAAGTTATGTTTCATTTCCATTTATTAATTTTTTTCTTTTTCTTTTACCAAAATGTTGATGCCACTTATATTCTTATATGTGATAAGATCGTAAAGTATTAGAAGTGAAATTGTATGTTTCTTTTTCCACGTAATTTTTCTGTTTCTCTTTATTTCTTTCTATTTACTATCTATGTGTCATTGTGTTTCGCCCTTTCACACATACATACACATACCTATACACATATAGACACTCTCTCTGTCTCTTATCTCTCTCAATCTATCTCTCTTTCTATATATCCATCTATCATTATTTTTACGTCTTCCTATATACCTATGCCTCCCCCCCCCCCAACACACACGCATACACACACACAAACACACACACACCCACGCGCACTAGTCTCTATCTGTAAACATACATGCGCACATGTTTATGCATGTACACACACACAAACACACACACGCACTAGTCTCTGTCTGTAAACATACATGCGCACATGTTTATGTATGTACACACACGCATACACACACACAAACTAGTCTCTATCTGTAAACATACATGCGCACATGTTTATGTATGTACACACACAAACATGAGCGTGTGAGGAACCTGGTGACAGCCTGAGATCAGACGGGTAATCCCAAGGTCGTTTTCCGTTCGCTCATTCCGTCATGCATTCTCATTCCGTTGACGTAAATATGAATAAGTTGTGATAATATGACTCGAGATATGTTTCTCTTAAAGTCCGACAGGCGCGAGTGAGGTAATTGCCAAGACGGTATCATTTCATCACTAAATTTCCGCTGCCAAGGTGTCCGCCTCACCTGGGAACTTGCGTGTTACGTCACGGCTTCCTGTAGGAGAAAGTTGCCGCTCGCTCCTGTGAGAAAGAGGAAATAAACTGAAAGATTTATTTTCTTTTGTTTATCTGCAGGAAACACGTGATCCAGACGCTGACTCCTCGCGATGGTGACGCTCCTGCGCGGGGGGCCTCGCCTCGGCTCTTCGCTCGCGGGCACCCCTCTCGCTGTGACGTCATCGCCTACCCGTTACGTCATCGCTGCGTCATCCTTTTCTCGCTAGAGGACCGACCAATCGCCTCCCGAGAAAGGATGCCGTCATCGCCCCGCGCCGCCAGTGAGCCGCTTATGATAAGTGCGTCATCGACTCGAGCGACCAATCAGCTACGCCGACAGGACTCGGCGCGGGCATCAAGGCCGACGGCGCCGCGGCACGGAGCCCCGCGCGGTGAGCAGGTCCGCGATGACTCACCGGGCGCGTCGGCGGCGGGCGACGGGGCCAAGGATGCGCTCTTCCCGTTCCAGAAGTCGGGCGAGGCGCCGGACCGCCCGCGGGGCAGCGGCCAGCTGGAGCGAGGGAGAGTGGCGTCGTGCCCGCCGTCCTTCCGCTCGCGCCCGGCCGCCGCGGCGCTCAAGGCCACGGCGCTCCTGAGCCTCCAGATCACCGGGCTGCGCGTGAGGGCGCGGGACTCGTGGCGCCGCTTCCCGAAGGAGGACAGCGAGAACAGGGCGCGGCGCTACCTCGTGGAGGTGGACGAGTGGCTGGGGACGCGGCCGCGGCCCACGGAAGACCCGCAGGTGCGCCCCTTAAAGAGAAGTAACCCAATCAGCGACGCTCGCCCCGCCCGCACGCCCGTGGCCGGCCAACGTGACCCGCGGCCGCTCGCACTCGATCGCCCGATCAGAAACGGCGATATCGCCTCTCGCGGGCCGGGGGCGCCGCCCCTCCAGCCCCGCCCCGCCAGCGCCTCGCGCCTGCCCGCCCGCGAGAGGAGGGAGGCGCGCCCGCTGACGCGCTCCAAGTCCACCCGGGCGACGCGCAGCAAGCGCAGGAAGAAGGACTCGTCAGGAGAGCCCGCGACGCCCAGCCGACGCGCCCAGCGAGGCGGTCCCGCCGCCCCTGCAGCGCCCCCGGCCGCCCACGTCGCCAGGGAGAGGAGCGGGAGCGACGACGCGGCCGCCCTCGCGCCCCCGGGAGCCCAAGGCGCTGCTGCGGGTGACGGTCCGGACGACGCCCGCGGCCGAGCAAGCCGCCACAGGAGCGCCGGAGCCGCCCGCGCCCCGGCGTCCGGCGAGCAGCAGGAGCGGCGAGGGACCTCGGGCCGCTGTGCGCACGTGTCGGGCGTGCGCGGCGGGCGAGCCCCCGCCCTCCCCCCGCCCCGCGCCCCCTGCCGCCGCCGTCGCCGCGCAGCCTTCAGTCGCTCGCTGGCCGCAGCCTTGGACACAGGCAGCCGCTCCCGCACGCGCCCCGACCCGCCTATATAGCGCCGCGCTCCCCCCTCGCACGCCAGTCGCTCGAGCAGCACTTGCAAGGCTACACGTGCTTCTCCTCGCCCGAAGGCATCTCGCTCCTGATCCAGCGCTGCCCCACCGCGCCCGCCCACGACCCCCCCGCCTCCTGCTGCGACGTGCCCGTCTCCAGCAGCCACAGGTTGCTGCAGAACATCGCCTGCCAAGTGTCCCACCTGTCGGCCGCGGGGAAGCTCCCCCTGTGACCACGCTGCCCCCCCCGGCGCCCGCTGCCGCCATGGCCAACGAAACGGAAGTGCGACAGAACCTGCTCAACTGCCAGGTCAACGGCCAGGTCACGCACCTCAAGGGCTACCGCAAGAAGGGCCTCGTCAGTGAAAAGGTCCTCCTCGAGCGGCTCTCCGACATGAGCATCGAGGACGACCTCCTGAACCCGGTCATCACGCTGAGCTCCGTGGAGGACGACGACGACTGCCCGATGGAGGAGGGCTCGCCCAACCCCGCCGGCATGAAGGGCACGCTGAAGAAGTCGCTGTCGCTGGCGGTGCCGTCGCTCAACCTGGCCGAGGAGCCCAAGAGACCGCCCCTCTAACTGCCGCCGCCCGCCCTCCAGCGCCCTGGAGATCCCTCGCAAGTCTCGCCTTTTCCCCCGAACACAAGATGAAGGAGAACAAGACAAAGAAACCCACTTGGAGGAGACGCGCCGCCTTCTTCCCTGTTGTCGTGGCTCTTCCTCCGGGAGCCTCGCCCGGAGGCTGCCTTCGACCGGAGGCCTCTCCCCCCCCCCCCCTCCTCTCCGTTTGTGCCGCCGCCTCGCCCGCCGCCCCCCGCGCCCCCCCTGCGGCTCCGGCGGCACGGGGCTCGGCGACCCTCTGCGTCGTCGGGGCAGGATAGGCCAGCAGGATGTGAGATTCGGATTCGATTTTGACCTTTTTTTTCTTATTTTACTTTCATTACTACTACTATTACTACTACTACTACTATTATTATTATTTTTATCCATTATTATTATCATTACTTATTTTATTTTATTTATTTATTTATTACTTTTTTTCTCATTCCTATTTGTATTTTCTGTTATCATTTGTATTCTCAGTGTGTGAGAAGAAAAAGATTTATCAACATGGTGCTGGACCCTCGGTGTTTGCGGAAAAGTGACCCGCCAACAGAAAAATATTGTGAATGGATGTTTCCCGATACGTTGATCTGTCACGCCTGCCAACTGACACGCGGATGGCGGTGGCAGCGTGGCAGTGACAGCTTGTCAGTGACGGCATGACACAACCGTCTGAGCGAAAAAAGAAAGAGAAGAAAGAGAGAAGAGAGAGATAAAAAAAAAACGTGCAGCTATCACTTTCTTTTTGATTGCCTTTTCAGCAGTTGTGTATTAATTTCCTTTTTTATTTATATTTTTTTCTCCTTTTTATATACGACCTTCATAATATTGTTAATCGGTTGACTTTTTCGTAATCCCTTCAATTCAAGAATACGCATAACTTACTAGAGAATAAGGACACGGTATTCCACGAAGCCAAAGCAATTGTAAAATATAAAAGAAAGCTTGGTAGCTAGAATGAATGAAAGAAAAAAAAGTACATGAGTGTATTTTGCTAAATGTAAACACACCTGCAGGCAGTTAGATTTTTTTAATGATTCCAATTAATGATAGCTGTCTTGAGGGAATGTGCTGTTACTCTTTCTTGAAGACACATGGAATGTATAGAAAAAGATATACATAATTTATGATCTCTGTACCTTACGTGGTGCATTGTTTGTTGTAGCCAAAGGTTCCTGTCTTTCATAGAAGCGGGGACCCCTTCTTTCGCTAAGAATTACGTAACCAAGATAAATGTGCATGTCTTGGCTTATGTAAACGCCTTAGGAGAACTCTGTATATAGATGTATCTGAGACATTTTTCTGAAAGACTTTGTGAAAGTCTGATGTTTTTCTTGTCTCTTGGATGACTATTTTTTCTTATATAAATAAAAAAAAAAAGAAAAATCAATACGGATTTTTAAGGAAATGTTATCAGGACTTTTTATACTGTATCCTTGAGTTTGAGGAAGAATGAGAGAAAAAATATATAATACATATTGTTTTATGTTCAGATTTTATTGGAACATATATTTGCCCCCAAATGTAAGTTTATAATACAAAGAACTCTTCATACAATTGATTTGAATATGTTAGCTTCATATACATACTTATGCATAATGGTAAATTCACATACACATACCCACACACACGCATGCAAACACATACCCACACACACACACACATACATGCATACAATCATCATAATATTATGATACAATATCATCAAACCACATAGACATTGTAATCAGACAGAGAAGGAATACAAATATGTTACTGTATATATAAAAAAAAACATTTTGTATTGCAATGAATTAAGAAGAGATATATGACATTTTATTTGAAATGAAATTGAAAAAAACAAACTTTTTAACAATAATGATTTCCATCAGCCATAATTAACAAGAAAAAGTGCCTTGGCAATTATCCATCAAGCCAATCATGTAATTACTTTCCAGTAATTAATCTTTACCAAAGAATGCTTAGAAATTAAGACAAAGATATAATCATTAGCCAAACGTCCGTAGTTTTTTATTTAGACATTTCGTAAAGCTAGATATTCAGCTTATAGTGTCTTTGAAACAATTATAGGTCAAAGGTCATGAAAATTTGATATTCTTGGATTCTGAGAAAAAAGAAAGAAAGAAAAA